GCAGGATGGGGTCTGCTGGCTGCCCACAGTGGGGGCACCGCTCCCCATCCAGGTTACAGAAGGTGATGCTGGTGATGTGCTCCTGCAGCATGGCCACGTCCACCTCCCGGGCCACTCGTTCTACATCGATGGCACTGAAGCGACGCCAGTCCATACTGATCCGGCGGGGCTGGAAGTGGAAGGGGGGGGTGTGCCAGGGGGGGGGGGGGTCGGGGCTGGAAGGGGAAGGGGGAGATGTCCATGGGGATGGTGAGTCCTGGGGATGCCCCCAGCATCCCTGCAGCCCCAGGCACCAGCCGGTGCGGTGGGCGGTGGAAGTCTGCAGAAAAGTGCTGGAAGGCAAAACGGATGGTTTGGTTAGATTAGGGCTGACCCCCCCAGGTCCACAGCAACCCCCATCAGCCTGCACACACTGTGGGCACTGGGGAGGGGGTTGAAACTTACCTTGTGTAGCACAAACAAAACCCCTTCCTTTTCTCTCCCATCCCAAACTGCTATCTACCACCTTGCCAAATTCTGCAAAAAAACATCCTGCCACTTTTTTCACCACCTGCTTTTGGTAAGAGAGACTTCTAAAACTGCCACATTGGAACTCTTTACAATAACCCATTCTGAATGAAGTTTAAATCTGCCCTGAGTGTACCTGTTTCAGGGAAACAGAATTAGCATGTTTTGAAAACAATACATGGTGAACGCTGGACACACTTTAATATCACAACAATCTGCTGCCTTCTGTGGTACTCTGCTCTGACCTAAACCTAAATCATTTCAAGAAGCAGTGTTTGCTCATTTTCCTAGTTGTGTCCTAAACAATAATTAAATAAATATAGGTAAAATACCTAGTTTTAGATCTGTGAAACAGACCTATATTGTTCTTAGTCTCTAGACAGTGATTTGCTGCTGCTGTTACAATTTTCTCTCTGCTATACCCACCTGCCACCCTTAATATACTTAAGTTTTTATTGCTAAAGGGCCACTTACCATATTTTTGGGTGCAGATGGGGCTCTGACACAGGCTGAGTGCCCCAGGACCATGAGCAAGGCAGCCAGGGCAGTGTTGGTGTGTTGCTGGGTGTGCTGTGTACAGTGGTAACAGGAGTCCCAGCCAGCCGGCTGCTCTGCAACACGCCTCCTGCACAGCCTGCAGCTACTGCTGTGCTCCCAAACAAACTGGGTCAGGCAACCCAAGGAGGTGCTGAATGACTGCGTGCATGGTGCAAGAAAGCCAAGCTTTCCTAGGCTCTCATCTGCTAACTCAGAGGAAGAAAGGGCACTGGTTATCACTGCCTGTTCACAGCAGGAAGCGTACCCAAAACAGCTTTTTTTTTTTTCACCTAATTTTACTCCTCAAAATGTTGTTTGAAAATGGGAGGCTCCAAGGTTCCCACTTGCCAGGATTTCTCCAAGGCTTGGCCCTACTAGGCACACAGGATAATGGTGGCATAAGCAGGGCTGAGCAAGGCAAGGGGCTGCCACAGAGCCAGCCTTCCATGGATTTTCCAACTGACAGCCCAGCAATTACACTTTCCATGGTGCCTGCATATATGCTGGAATAAAATGATCCTGTTCCCACGTTCTTTTGATGTTGGAACAGTCACAGGATTTTCCAGGAATTATCTGGGATTTCTGGTTAATGCTATGTTGCAGCCAGTGATTTCTGCACACCACTGAGCATTTTCTTTCCCATGGAACTGTTTATCCACCCCTACCCCAGGGTCTTCACTACACTCACTGCTGGGATTGCTTCATCTACACAGTACGTCTCATGTCCTTACAGGGCTGGCTTGCTCAGTCCAGCCCAGCATCATTCAAACCTATTGCAAATCTGCAAAGCCCTCTCTCATGGACAGAGGGTCTGCTCCTGCCCTACATAAGCACCTTCACACCTCTGTCTCCCTAGTCTACTTAGTCAGGTCATCAGGCACCTTTTTACCTCTAGTCCCATCTCAAATCAGGGCTTCTCTCTGTTGCATGTAAATACTACGGGCCAATGACTGCTCTGAACCAGTCTGGATCAACCCCAGTGGCTCTTTAAAGCACTCTTCATCTCTACAACAGTTTTATGGGACCCTCTCCTCTTTCTGAACCTTCTCTCTCTTATTCCACTGCCCAAATATGGCAGGATACAATAAAGCCTTAGTTCAAGGCTGCAGCTAACCCGGGAAGAGGTCGCATACCACTGCAGGCGGAGCATGAAAGCATCTGGGAACAGCTGTGGATCAGTGTCACATTGTAGTTAACCATAGTTTCCCTATAGGGTTGCTTGTTTATTTTGTTTTGGTGCTTACCCAAAATCACTAGCTCAGCAAGCCCCTTTCCCTTTTAGGCTTGTATGGCCAGCAGACATCATTATCGTTGTCCCTGATGTGATATATATAGATATATATATAAAAATACATATAATATACACTGTAGTAGCACTGCAATGTCAAACAACCCAACCCACTGCATCAGGTAAAGTGAAGTGTACATATATATACATGCTCTCATATATGTGTGTATATATGTGTGTAAATACAGCCCTGACTCATAGCTGCATGTTACATAGACTTGTGGGGTAATGGTGCATGGCCCCTGCAAGGGAGGTTTTGTTGCATGAATTAACCACTCCTACAAAGGAGGGGTTTGCAGGGACCATTAATTAAAAATCCCCTAACAATGTACTGCATCCCCCAGGGCTGTGTTGCATAACTTCGTTAATATTAACGAGGTCTCCACGCACTGAAGCCAGCTGTGTTTCACCCAGCCCTCAATGCCAGTCAATCACAGCAATCACAATTGCTCAATGCCCCCAGTCACAGCACGGCTGTGATTGCCCCATCACTTGCTTCAGGTGCCTTTTCTTACAAAATGCTATATATATAAGGTCTCAGACAGCATAGCCATGGCTTCAGCAGAATGTTGGTATGGTAAAACTACTGTATTGGGCAATCTGGGAAGCCAGCTCTGGAAACTTCTTTTGTCTCTTCAGTCTTTACCTGCATTTGCCTAGGACAGTGCTTGGCTGATGTAAAGCAGTAAAGGTATTTTGACTTCCATGCTGTAATGTAAGGCAATGTCAGCAGGTGCAATGGAACTGCTCGCAAAAGCTGTCCTCATCATCCACGAGGGAAATGTTGGTATTCCTTCATAGGACTGAGATTTTGCCCACTGGGTGATGAAGATATCAGCCTTGAGGGGTGCAGGTCTACCACAGAGGTAACAGCTCATACCACCCAGCACAGGGTAGAGCTGAAGGTGGTTACCTGCACTGTTTCTACTCCACTTTGTAAAAGCCAGGTTCACCAAAGTTCTGGAAGAGCCGGGTCTCAGAAAATGTGATGGACTTTCATTTTCCAGGCTGGAAGATGGTGAGTTTTCTGTCTCAGCTCATGGTTCCTGGGACAGGCTGTTGTGTAGTCCTCTTCTCTGCAAACCTCAGCCTTTGGCAGGGAAATTTCTCCTCGTTCCCTTCTCTTCTGCCCTTCCCCGCTACCACCCTGGGTCTTTCCTCACCTTCCTGAACTCTTCAAGGGCTTCTTTGCTCTCTGCAAAATCTGAAGGTGCCTCAGGTGCCAGCATCCCTCTGCTAACCTGGGAGCCTGCGGGCTTTGGGAGGCACCTTACCACAAAGCAGAGAGTTCTCGGGGGACTCAAGACTCACAACCTGCTTCAGCAGCTTCCACACCTCTGTCAGACCCTTCTCAAAAGCAACCATCATCCCCCCTCTCTTTCTCAGCTTCTCCTCTTGCTGAAAGGTAAGCAGGTGGGTGCAGGAGAAAGCCCCCATGTGAGACCTTCGGTGAGGTTGGCTGTGCTTGCTGCTATAAGCTGTGTTTTATTAGAATTCCTGGCAGTGCATGTAGGCAGGAGGGAGAAGCAGGAAGAGCTCGGACCTCATATGAGAGGAGCCGCTACGTAACACAGCAGAGCCTCAGAAATGCTTCTCGCCTGAGCTCATCTGCAAAGGGAACTCCGATGGGTCAGGTCTCTGTCTGACCCCCAGCCCTGTCCCTGCCTTCCACGGACACAGCCAGTGCCCAGAGAGGGGAGCCTGGAGAGCTGAGCCACAGGGCAGAAAAAGGCAAATACTCACTTGTTGATAAACTGAAGAGGGGGGTGAGGACCGGATCGGAGCTATTGCTGTGAGCCGTGAGGAGGGCTGGGACCAGCTGGGGGCTGGCCGAAGCTGAAACAGGAAGAACTTGGTGAAGTCACTGAAATGTGTAGATGTGGCACTTAAGGATGTAGTTTTATGGTGGACTTGGCTGTGCTGGGCTAATGGTTGAACTCAAATGATCTTACAGGTCTTTCACAAGCTAAACAATCCTATTATTCTATGACTTTCTGGGCTGTGAACTTACACTCCTCCCCTGAATCCCCTTAGCCCAGGGAAGTCAGAATCATAGAGGAAAAGCAGTTCCTGATGCCACAGGCAAGCAAAACCCCCTGTAATGGGATGGGAGGGGAAGTGTGGACAGCACCCGGGTGTAAAACTGATGTCCCTGGACTGAGCCATGACAGCTTCACTCTAGGAAAGGGAACAGCAAAGTACGTACGCCCTTGTGTGCAGAGGGTTTACTTCTCTCGATTAATCCTGCTGCCATTTCTAACTGCAGAACCTGGGCTGCTGATTGCAGCATGCTCATTAGCTGCAGTGTTTACAGAAGATAGCATTGTGCAGATGGCAAACATTCCATGACGCGTGACCGATCCACCTCCGCCTTTCTGTTTCCGAGCTAAAAACAGCTGTTCAGACAGACTCAGAAGAGATTTGCAAGTTGGTCTTCCTTATAGGGGGTTGGGTGGATCTGGAATTACCCTGGGAAAAAATGTAAATGTAGTTGGATGCATTTGCCCTCCAGCAGAAAAAGTCACTGGGTGACTTGTTGGATTTAAATGGGAGGTTTTGTACTGCTGGACAAGGGTGACCAGAGCTGCTGCCCCTCATTTCCAGGGTACTTGAACTCTATTTATTTCAGAGGGATTTGGGAGCCCTGAAGGGCCTTGTCTATCCTTTCTTGGTGCCTCAGCATCTCCTTTCCAGGGCGAGAGGTGACTCTTTGCAGCCTGAACTGATGTCAGAGAATGGGGTAGTGCAGCCCCTTACTGAAAGGAGCTCAAATAAAACAAACATTGCTAAAACAGGACTCATTTTCCAGGGGCATTCAGGGGATAGCAAACTCAGAGGAGTGGTAGTTTATTAACCATTTTATTTTCACTTGCACTGGTAAGGTGCCTCTCAAAAACGTAGGGTGAAAAGTTTGTGTGAGGAAAACGCAGATTAATGAAAGAAAGAGGTTTGGGCTTCTCTTCATTAGCAATTGCCATCATCCATCCTTTGCTATTACATTTGCATTACACTTGGCTCAGAGGCTTTAGCCCAATCCAAAGCCTGTTGTCTTTGCAGCTTTTCTGACATGGGTAGCTGCCAATAATGCTGAGAGGTGCAGAGATGAAATTCTTCCCAGGAGGCTGTGCATCTCTTTAGGAACTTTTCCCTTGGATAAGCTCACTACTGAGGCCTGTAAGTCCATTTGATTCAGAAAGGTTTGGTTCATGAGCACCTGTAAGGAAACAAAATTAAGGCCAAATTGTCCTTACTGTTGCTGAAGGCTACATCTGTTGGATGCACACCACAGCTCTGCATGTGCACCTTAGTGTCCCAAGGTGGTGGTTAAGAAAAGGTCTTTCTTCATCCTATGAAGCCAGCTGCTGACACCAGTGGTGGTTGTGTTTTGGCCCCAGGATGGGAAGGACTGGAAGGAATATTCCCTCCTCTTTACACCGTGTCAATGTCCTCATAGAATGTGAAATCACCCAGCTCTGCATTTTGGATCAGGTCCTTGTACGTCGTGGGGCAGTAGGCTTTGTACAGTTTCTCAGCCAGAGTGTTGCTGCCTGCAACCACGGCTTTCCGGTTGTGGTTCATGAAGTTCCACAAGTGCAGAGCATAGGAGTGGCTGAAATTGGGGCTTTTATCCCATACCTCATAGTACCGGCCCCAGGCTGGGTATGGTATGGGGTAGAAACGCTGGGGATTGAGGAAGGAGATGTTCTGGCAGCTGTGGTCCTCGGTGTCTTTGAAATCTGTGAGATTGCAGATGGTTTTGAGCACCCGTGTCATTAAAAAGGGCCCCTGGTTCCCCCAGATGTTCCCATTGTACTTGAGAACAAAGTTCTCCATGCAGTCCCAAACAAATTTGTGGTGGGCTGGAAAGCCAAAGATCCCGTTGCTGGAGAACTGTGACTTCTGTGCTGCTAGGAAGCTTTCCTCAGGGATGGGCCTGATGGAGATGACATCTGTGTCCATGTAGATGCCACCATACTTCCAAATGAGTGCCAGTCGGCTAGCATCAGAGCTGACGTGGACCCAGTTCTTCTCCAGCTCCGGGACTACCTGCGGAGTTGGAAAGGTAAGACAATGATGCCACTGGCAGAGAACAGATCACATCTATCCGTTGGCCTGCAAATGTCACCATAAAACTGCACCTGCACTTCTGCAAATGTCTCTCACTGCCTTCTCTTCCTCCAGCTATTGAATTGTATTGGAATAAGATAAGAGGGCAGTGCAGAGCAATGCTCTGTTAATATAAATGAATGCAGGAACATTTCACATGTGTCTTGTGGAATCTACAAGGTTAAATCAATGATACCATGATTCATTGCCTGCTATTTCAGTGGGACACAACCCACTTGACACACTCCCTGATCACTCCCAGCTCTTTGAAACAGGCTGGAGGGTTTTCATTTTCAATGTTGGTATTTGGAGTCATTTTTTCTCAGGAGAAGGAAGAGTTTGGAGGAAATATGCCTGCCCTGCACATAGATAGAACCAAACTAACTTGACAAAAGCTACTTTCCAGGGTGCAAGATCCCACCTTGGTTTTGCATATTGCTAGTACAAAAACTGAAATCTCTTCCTCATCTTACCTACTGTGGGCTCTGTCAGTGTGTGGCAGCATTAACAAGTGCTTAGGCACCACATTTTGTTCAACCAGCTTCTGTTGAAGCAGATTATTAAGCGTTGTTTTATCAAAACATGTATGTAATCTATTTTTACCAGTGTTCCATTTGCCAAAAAAATCTGATTCTCCAGATAGGGCGGAGGGGAAATGCTGATAATGTGTTCAATAAACAAATCAATGAACACACTGCAAAACATGACCAGAGTGTATCTATTCCGAAACAAAACATAAAAATGACTAATTTCACAAAGCCAGTCCTGTTTTTTTCCATTCATTTGAAGCCTGCTTCAGACCTTCCCTGTCTCCCCTCATTTGTAACTGTTTTCTATTTCCCTGTTTTCCCCTCATTATAAAGCTCACCTGGTTGTACCATTGGAGCAGAGGGGTCTCCTGGAAGACAGTTTCCATCTGGAGAGGAAAAATGAAGACATTCTTCATAGAAGACAAAAGTGAGAAAGCTGTGTAGCTGGAGTTCAAGTCCAACGCAGTGTCATTTTGAAGTCCCTTCATGAAAAGGATGACAGGCCTGTCCTGGTAAGTCCTGGCAGCGGATTCCACGGAGCAGGACACCAGTGGAGGGGGCTCCAGGCGCTCTGTCGTCTCCAGGAAAATGATGCTTCTGCCAAGGTTCAAGACCTGCTCAGGTGTCAAGAAGTGTTTGGGCATAGGCATGTAGGAGAAGAAGCAGCCGGACAGCAGGGATATCTCATACAAAATACCCAAGACAAAGAAGAAGCAGAGGCATATCTGTATTTTCTTCAACATTCTTGCTTTCCCTGGGCCTTTAGGGTCATGCCTTGGACATGAATGCTAAGGAGAGACAAAGAACAACAGAAATATATGCCAGTGTTATCAGTAGGCATGGCTGGGAAATATAAGATGTTTTTGGACAGCATATCATGAAGGCAGTTTGGTGAATCTCATACCTTTTCCCAGGACAAGCCTGGTGAGATGTCTCACAAGGATCTGCCCTGTGGGATGAAGTACTGGGGTCCCACCTCCTCACCCCCAACCAGACAGGAGGGACCAGGAGAGGCCTTGGAGAAGGGACATGCAGCTACGTCTCATAGCACAGCTATGCAGTTGTTAGACTGGCAGAGAGGGAAGAACCAAGAGAGAGAGCAGGGAGAACAAGGTGAGAAGGATCACCTTGCTCAATGCCAAGGCAAGGATCCCCAAGCCCATCCCTGGGGCTGGCTGGTGTAGCAAACTGTTCCCAAGCACTCCAGCATCATGCCAATGTGTGCTTGTCCACAAGCAGGAGAAGTCCAAGAGATCTGAGGAGCAAAATGCACCAGTGGAATTAGGTGGCCAAGGGGGCTGTGAGTACCAGTGAGGGGAAGGTCATGATTACAGTTTGGGATGTGTCAGCCAAAGCTGAAACACTGTCATGTAGGCACCAAATCTTTTGCCCAGTCTATCTCTTCTACTCATGATTGAACACTGAAGTCTATGAGGGACTTGGGTCCTGCAGGAATGGGTGATGAAGAAGGACCAGAAAGAGGCAGATGTAAAGATGGAAAGCACGTGGTTTTGTACAACCAAGGAGCTGAGACCTACCTGGATTATAGTTCTGAAAAATCCACATTTCCAGCTTATTTCTTTGCCAGCACGGTGGCAATCAGGCTGCCTTAAAGCCCAGCTCCTTGGTGAAGATACCCAAAGTGGAGAATGCAAAGGTATTTCTGAAGCCAGGAGACTGATGCACAGGGGAAAACTGGCTGTGCTGCAAGCTAAGTCTCAGTCCCAGAAA